TTTACGGATATAACTGATCACATCCAACTTACTTCTGAACGTACCAAGCATTCTGTCCCATGTGCCACATCTAAAAGGCAGGTATGTGACTTATATGTCCCCCCGCCCTCTCTTCTGTATACACAAACTCGGCTCTGTTAGGTCACACCGCGGTGGTGGCGTGTGGGGCGCACTTTCGGTCTGGGGCTGTGGGCGAAAGTACCCCATGTGAGACGTGTATTCCTGCATTGTTTTGAAAGGAACCGGACAAAAACCTGCTCTCTCGTGAGAACTCTGCGACTGGGCCTGTACCAAAAGAGTCGAGAAAGCTTTGAAGGTCAGTATTCTTGTGCTCGGTTCGTCCGAGAACGTGGATATGTGCCGTTGAGAGGGAAAACCAGACGCCGCCGGACCACGATTGCTTGGGCGGGAAGCACTCTGGGTTGAGTTCACGGATACTTGTGGTCATCAGATTTATTTGATGAACATGAACGCCAGAAAACCGTCAAGTTGTACGAATCACCTGCGGACTACGCTGAGTGCGTCTTCAGGTTAAACGGCCGCCTGATCGTTCGCACTGTTTTGTGCTCTTTCAAACGTTTCTGCTTGTCATCTCCTCTTCTAAACGACACCGGCCCGTAGACCGAATGTTGGCCTGGTACTTGTGATAAGAAGTGCAGGCCTCAAGAGACTGAAGTTTGAAGGTTGTTAAGCAGGCTCGATATAAACAGTAGGTACAAGGAGATTTTGATCATTGTTACCAGTGGGCGTCACTGACTTGTTATGCCTGGTTCACTTGGTCTGATTGTGCTTGCGATTTTCAGTATTGACGTCGACCATTTCAGTTATGGTTCATGCTTTTGCAGCCCCAGCGACGTTGCAACTGAAAATTGCGAGCAGAATCTTATCATGCGAATCAGGCTTAAGCATGCATTCTGCGGCGTCCGCGCGGAATGAATCGCTGCATGTCGCATTATTCACTCAAAGTTTTGCGGTGTAACGAGCCCCGGTAATTTCGTTGAGGCCGCTCAAGTAGTCAGACATTGCCAGGAAGACGTAGAATCAACGATTCGAACGCGAAAAAGGGCAGGGGGACTCACACCGACGCCAACAACATCGCATTTCAATGGTTTGTTTATGGGCGACGGCAAGCTTCTTGCCCACACTCCATCGTGCATGCGCGGCGCCGGTGGCGTCCGCTAGGGGCGCTCCGGTTTGTTTGTAAACATGAGTTGGTGTATAACACTGCCACAAATATCAACAATAATGTAAGCACCCTTGGTTTTTTTTTCTGGAAGGCTTAGCAAGCACCGGGTTTCAGGCGGCGGATTTGTTTTTCGTCGGCGAAATGCCTTGAATATGCATAATCATTGCTTGTTGGCAAGTGCTTTATTTTTTTATGTTTTTTTTTAAGACTGCGCTGTTAGGGGGTTCAATGAGTTCCGATCCAAATTGGTGTAAAGTTTTTTTGTTTTGTTGCCAGAGCAGACTGACTGTGCACATTGTTTATGTGCTTGTTTTCAGTTTTCTGTTTTCCTTTGCACAGGAGATGGTTGCACAATTGTGCCCTGTTAATCTCTTCATCAAGTATGGCATTGCATGCTAACCCCCACTTCTAAATTTGCACCTGAAATAGCTTAAATGTGAGATTTGGAACCATGTTCCATGCTAACGAATCATTTGTATAGCTCGTTTCTTGACGCAGACGACGCACCGAGGAAAAGTCCCGTCTGAGTGCTCTGGTTCATGGGTGCGTCTTCTCTCCGAGTGGAATGATCTGTGCTGTGTTTCTCCATAACTTGGCAAAAGGCAACGGCTACAGCATTTCCTCACCATCGCGGCAGACTGTTCCATCTGCGCCAAAAAGTACTGCTACCGTGGCTTTGTTTTGAAAAGCTATTAATCTAAATTTTTTTGAACTGTTATTAAAAGCAAAGCAATAACTTTTACAATGTTTTCAGTCATATCGGCATTCGCTGCCCTGCTCTTCCATCCGCCATGGCAACAACGGCAAAGGAGGCTGCTGTGGTGTATTTGCTGCCACAGTGTGAATGTGCATGCTCTCGTTCTTGCCTTTTGCCCGTTTGTGTATCACAAGCATTCGCAAACAGTTCAATGCATTACTGTACAAGGTCATAGGCATGTTTTCTTTTGTACGTGTTTCAGTTAAAAAAAAAAGTAGCATTGTGTTGAGGATGTTTAGACAGCGAAAGGTCGGCCTGCCTCGAATGGTGCCAAGCTTGCCGCTGTAGATGAGGAATTTAGCCAGCGCAGTATGACCGAAAGCCTGGGATCTTTAACGTGCATCATGTAGTAGTGATTACACAAACGCCTACTGGTATGATCCTCTTCCAGATCGAAATGAGCAAGTGCTGGGATTTAGCCCACGATCCCAGGTTCTGCAGCGCAAGCTTTCGCTGCACATGCCCGGAGCTGAGACGTGCTAGCCGACTCGGGCCACCGTTCCGCCATGTGTTTTAGTTGCGTTCAGCACTATTGTGAATTTGAAGTTATTTTCCTAGTAGTTCAAGCAGGGGAAATTGAAACTTCTACGGTACAAACCAACATTTTTGCTAGAGTTTGCAAGCCGACTGAAAGTATGAATGCCTTTTTAAAACCATCTAATGTCTTTAGGTACATGTTCTTCCCAAGTGTGCTAATTTCACAGCAGACTCCTCCGGCTTGCACAGACACCGCAGTTTCTACAGTTTCCCAAATTAATGTGAAACAGAGTGTAGTGGATTGCGTGCAGGCCTACCCTCTTTCACACTTGAAGAGGTGCGATGTTTTCAGGTGGCTGTAGGTAAACCTGGTATATGGAGAGGTTTATACGTTTCCCATCACACACAAAAGTAGTTCTTTTTTTTTCTCTTTTACTCGACTGCCAAATTAGCAGGAACAAAGAAAATTGGACATTATTTGTCGAGAAGAAGGAAGGTCGGTCTGGCAGCGCATGGTGACACTTTGTCACGCTCTATGTGAGAAATTTGACTAGTGCGGTACATCCGATAGCCCAAAGTCTTTAAGATGATTCATATAGCGGTAATACACGCCCATGCTCCACACACTGCGAGCTGCAGTGGGCTAACACACTCTGCCACCAGGCCCCTCCAAATCAGCACGTCCTGTCGAAGCAACGTGCAATTATTACTATTGCTGCTGAATGGGGCACGCGCACGTAAGGAAGGAAAATAACAACCAGGAATTCTGGTAAGGGGAGGATGCCATACGTCATGGAACACAGGAACAGGCTTGGCTTGAATCCTTTTTGCTTCAGGATCACCATCACTACTCCAAGCTCACCACAGACTTTGCATTCATGGGAGCTTTCTCCAGCAACCGTTTCTTTTTATGAGACACTGCACCGCTTGCAGTGGCAGCTACTCTACGACACCTGCTCGCTGATTTACAGCTGCCCGGCCCGGTATGTGGAGTCACGAGAACCTGTGGGTTGCACCTGTTGTGACTCTTCCTTGACGGTTTCTTTAGCTTAGTTATTTTGCATGGCACCAAGGTTTAAGATTCTCTAGGACTTCAGGGTCATGTGGTAACTGCATTTTCCAAAGTGTTTCTGACATTAAACAGCAAGCACCCTGGTTGTGCTTGTCACTATGCCACAGTCACCTGTGTGGTGCATGAAGCAGTGGTTTGAACCATTGAAGGGTGCACTGGTGTCTCTTAAGCTGTCCTGGGCACTCATCGGTAAGTAATATTTGTGCTGGTGATCCAATATTCAACGACAAACATTGCAGCAAGAAGTTACTTTTCTGTGTGCACACATTACTGTTGTACAGCCTAAAATATTTCAACGGTGAAGAATAGGTGAGTGACTTGCTTCAGGCTACTGGAACACGTTATTGTGTGGGCCTTTCTTTTATGGAGGGGAGGCGAGAGCAGAAGAGTAGCAGAACCAGGCACAAATAAAAATTGAAAAAATCCTCAGCGGAAAAAAATTAATAAATAAAAGCAGTGTGAAGAGTTTCGTTGCTTACACGTCACAAACTCGTGGCAAAAAACGGAGGCTATACTCTGTTTCACCTAGTAGTGTACCGCAGGAAAGGCTACAAGCGCGAGCTCCTTGCTCTAGGGCACATCTCGACGGTACAAGTTCTCGTGCAACAAGCTCGCGCTTCTGGCCTTCTCTGCGGTACAACATAAGGTGAAACGGAGTATAGACGGAGAACGACTCATTATTAATCCGAGACGGGGACACAAATAATAAAACGAAGAGACGCGCGTGTGGTTGCCCTTCACTTTTATTTTTTTATTTTCCCGGTTCTGGGGTCCGAGGCGTTCGCTTACCTTGCCTCTCGTGGTTTTCGGGCGCGCGGTTCACGAGGGAGTCGGTGCAACGTACTCGACGCGTATTGAAAAGAACACGATTTATCCTGATTACGCAAAGCCGAGAAACGCACCTTGCTTCACAATATCGGTACGTTCGTAGAAAAGCGAAGCAAACAAACCGCATTTTGCAGATTGAAGAGACATGGACGATTCGTCACGAAAACCACTCGGCATCAGCGGTTTATTTCGCGGCCGCTCGCTGCTCGAAGTAGCAAAGTGTTTCTGCCGATCCAAGACAAGCCAAATTCCACGGAGTCGGTATGACGACGCATCAGCGGTAGCGGCCGCTCGCTGCTCGAAGTAGCGAAGTGTTTCTACCGATCCAAAACAAGACAAGCCGCATTTCGAGAAACTTCAAGAAAGCCACCCGGCTTTTTTGAAGCCCCCGTTGCCCCCCGTCACTCAGTCTATCCACGCATGCACTTCCCTTTCTCTCTAATATAATCGGAGAGCGTCAAACAAAGCTCCGCGTCGAACGTCCTATCAGAGCGCGACGATTGCCTCGGGTTTATGCAAAGAAGTGGTCCGAGCATAATCCATGCTTATCCCTTTCGAGGGGCGGCAGTCCAGGGAAATAATCCCCTCTAATCCCTTTTGAGGGGAGGGACCCTTTTTTTTGGGTTCCACCCAGGCCAGAAACTATACAACACCCGCGTTTCTTTCCTGGCCTTGCGCAGCCAAGATCACCGACTTCCTGGAGGAAGTGAGGCGCAACATAACCATGAACGCCAACAAGGCTGCGAAGGTGAGTTTTACAAGGCCACGTTCACTTGCGCACTGCGCGACACTGTTAGGGCGAACGCAGTACCGGCGATGTTGTTCTATGTTATTTCGAAAGGGTATTGTGAGACACCATATTTTATAGCTAGGGCTCCGTGTTCTCGGAGTTTATTTTTCGTCAAATTCGGAGGGTGTTTTTCGGAGTTTATTTTTTGCCGAGGATTTGGAGTTTATCGGAGTTTATATTTTTTTATTCCCAATTCTCCGAAATTCGGAGTTTAATTTCGCTGTGTTTCCTATTAAAAATAAATAAATAAATAAATAATAACCGAATGTAAACGTATGCCAGATAAAAAAAGAAGACGCGCTTGTATCAATTGAAATATTTTCAGTTGAATTTGGCGTTGGTGCCATTACCATTGGCAATCCTTCGGATTTAACAAAAAAAAAAAAAAAAAAAACCCGAAAAGACGAGGACCACACAAAGAAGTGACACGGACGTAGTGCTGTTTATCCACGACAAAAGTCACACACGAGTGGCACTTCGATAAAGGCCGATACCTTAAAATCAATAAACTCCCGGAGGTAGCCGCTAGGAAGTTCGTAGTCATCCCATCCTATTTCATCAATCAATCTAGCCCGCGGCCGCGTGAGGTGGAGTGGTTAAGGAGGTAATAGGGAGTTTGAACTGCCCCTCTTCCCAATTTTATACAATCCCTATGGTCCATATCTTTCACTGTTACTAATACATACCCTTTACTTTCTCTAAATCACAAATCACATGGCCCGAACCGGAAACCAAAAGAGTGGCTTTTGTCGTGATCCGAATGTACAACGAACGACCTGTTGCCCTGAATCAATCTTGAAGAGACAAGCTGCAAGACCCCTGTTCACAACGGTCCGAGATTTGAAAGATAATTATGGTGGAATTTTCCCAGGACGATTGACTCTGTGCTAATCAAACTGTAACAAAAAAAAAAAAAAAACACTGACACATAAATATTGATTAAAATTTTACCGGCGGGTGGTTTTCGGAGTTTTTCGGATTTATCCGAAAACACGGAGCCCTATTTATAGCTTAGGTGTGTGGGCCTAAGTAAGCACTTTCCCCCACCATAGCAGTTTTTAGGGCAGCCTCTTAATAATAAAAGCAAGACAGAAAAATCCAGGGATCTCTTATTCGTGCTAATAGTGTCGCACGACGCACAGTACATCTGTGTGGAAAAAAAAGAAGAAGAAAAAAAAAAGGAAAACGTGGCAAGTATCAGTAGTCTGACGTTTATGAGCAACATACGTTTTCCAACATGCGTGGCATCCAGCTTTCAAACCATGTGCTTGTCGGCGTCACTATAAGCGACTCCGAAGAAAAGAAAGTTTATAAATTATAAGGATTAAGATAACACTGGTATCCTTCCGGTGTCCGGTCTGAATAGTTTTTATATCTGGCCATACGACAGACGAGGCCGACGGGCAGTGTGCATTTCCAAACTTGGGAAGCAGACGATGCAGGGCTGCGTTCGTCGACAATTACCCGGACTAGAAGTAGAGTAAAATTAAGACGCCAGTGTCATTACGTAACATAAAGGGGATACAGATGCATGGAAGTCAGGATAACGACCACTTCAACGGAATGAAACGTGTTTTCACGAATGCGGAGAAGACCTTGTGGCGGCATCTCAGACTGTTGACGCCTCGCTGGCGAACACCGGTGTCGAGGCGGGCGCCTAAAAGCAAAATAATAATAATAAAAAAAAAAAAAAAAACTTCTTAAAAAAATATTTTCAGCAACAACAAAAAACACTTTTTTTTAAAGTTTCCGATATGTTCCACGGATGACGTAGATTGAACTTTTGGCAATTTCGAAAATTCCGGGCTGCTGCCCAGATTGTTTTTCTGGCTCTCAAGATGGCTGTTTCTGCATAATCTGGAAATTGTCATTTATTTAAAACGCAACAAAACGACGCTTCGAAAATTTAACACATGTAATTCAATTATTAGTTGTCCAATACAAAAATAGCATTGTAGCTAACACCCAAATCCAAGTTGACTTGAAAAAGAACACAGAAGGACACTTCAGACAGCTTACGTGTAGGAATGCGAAAGCATTCTTACACACAGCGCATTCCTACAAGCCACGTCTTCCTTTCTTACGCGGCTGTCTGGCGGTGACATCACGCTTCCACGGGTGTGGCGAACCCCGTCGGCTCCACGGTTTCTATGACGATGCATCTGCGGTGCTGTGCTTTTCTTTGTATTTTATTTCTGAGGCGCGTCCGCTTTGACCTCGAGCGGCCTCAACGGCTTCCGTGACGAAGCATTTGATATGACGCGTCGCGACCAATGGGACTTTAGGTGCCGTTTTGCTCAGCCAATGGGAAAATGGGAATTTAGGCGCCGTTTTTCGCTGCTACAGACACCGCCGGCTTTGCTCCATGAGAGAGTTAATGCTTTCGCATTAATAAAAAAAAAAAAAAAAATCAAACAAAGTGTTTTTTTTTTTTTTGTCTTTGGAACCCCTATCTGGACCCAGAATGGCGTCCTTCAGTGTTTGTATTTCAGTGTAATATAAGGCATAATATTAAGTAATTAGGCGCCCACCTAAAAATTCGTCGTACGCAACCGTTTTCTCTTTTTCAGAATGTTTTTCTTAATTACGGGATTTTTATGCAGATTCATGAAATTTCGAGCATGATATCGGCAAAAATAACATTTATTCTTTCACGAAAAAAATACTTTCTTGGAATTCGGGGGCGTCTTTATCCAAATTATTTTTTGTACGTATCCCAGATATGCAAACATTGTCGCGTCTCCTTTGGCATGGAATGAACCTTCCACTTTTGCTCTTGCGTTCACCACCTTTGTCTCAGAAATGCAGAGTTATTATTCTATGTAGTAAATCACAAAATTCCGCTCTTGATGGTAAGTCTGTTTGTAGATTTCTACATGGATGCAAGGATCTTCAAGATATGAAATTTCATTTCTAATAATATGGGATTTCCGTTAATTTTTAAGGAAACGGACCGAACATTTCCAAAAACAGGGTTCTCTGGCAAAAGGCATCTGGAAGGGGATTCCCTACTACTATTACTCTTCCGTCGTTTATTTCTAATAGTGTAAACGACTCATTTTTTCGCGGGCTCAATATTTCGCGATTTAGGTCAAAGTTGAAGTTTTGCAATAATTCTCGGGTTCTAAATTTCGCGACGCAGTGGGGTGTCAATATAGATTCCAATATGCTTACATTTTACCGGAATGGTTCGCGGGACCTATTTTTCGCGAATTGTAGGTGATTCGCGATATTCGCGAAAATTAGGGCCTCGCGAAGATTAAGTCGTTTACAATAGTTGGGTTTCTTTTCCCGTTGTTGGTCACGGCATGTCCTAACTTTGGCGGTCTTCATTTTTTTTTATTTTTTTTAATTTTTATTTGCAGAAGGAGAGCGCTGAAAGTTCCGAAGAAGCGCCGAAGTGAGCCTCAACAGCAGACGTCTAGGAACGACAACTGTAAGAACTGCGTGGCATTTCAATAAAAAAAATTTGAGTCACACTTTTTTTTTTTAGTCCAAGTATAAAAGTGTGATCGTAAAAAAAAAAAAAAAAAGAAACAGAATTTCTATTTAGACAGTCACCGAAGAGGAGGTGCCCCTCAAGAAAGGCCGCAAGTAACCACAACTCATCGCAGCCGACACTATCAATATCCGATGGAGCGCCAATCAAAGAGCAGCAGAGGTGCATCGACACGGCACTCGTTCTTTTTGCGTGTATGCTGTCACAAACTAAAACAATCACGCGGAAGAAGAAGGCAAAAAAAAAGGTGCAGAATCGTGGCGCATACACTGCGTGCGTGATTGGTTCAGCCGGCGATATCAAAGGCACAAAAGCGGCGAGCGCCGTGACAATGCACTTTTGGCGCTCCTTGATTGGCTCCAGCAGATCGTAGCGTACGGAATGTACACACCAACTGAATTCTCTGACGTCACGCCGCTGCGGTGGTGCTGCTGTCGGCAATGCGCATGCGCAGATGCTTCGCCTCGGGCCAATCTGGTTTCTGCGCGCGCGCAGTGGCCCCACCCGGTGTGGGCAAACGCGGACTTGTTCGTAAACATTGTGTACGTCGATAACACGATCGTGTTAAGTCGCGCTCAATTTTAGATCATTCTCTCGTGGTATATATCTTCACTTGGAATATGCTGCCCTTTCGAAAGCGGCCTCTTTTTCATCTCCAAACATTTCTTCTTTTCTTTCTTCTTTTTGACCAAAAAGGTAAATGCTTATAGTCAGATACAAGTTACGAATGTTCCAGGAGCTCCGCCTCTGCGCGAGCATTCTATCGGTAACACCGTAGCCTCCTCTATACTCACAAAGCCATGGCAGTTCGACGACAGAGCCATAGACGTGCCCGGTCGCAGATTCGGAGCGCGAAAATCTGGTAGAACAGAACATCAAAAAGGCATTTCTCAGGGAACCTGTACGCCAGCGCACAGCTTTTGCAGCGGCGAGGACCCGAAAGACATTTGTTCGCTCGGGAGAAGTGTTTTTCGGCGTCTCGCCGCAGCGGGGCGCCAGTCACGTGGCTCTCCTCTCATCTGTTGTCTATCGCTCCACCTTTTCCATTTCGGCGGCCGCTTCCCGTGGCGATCTGCCAGGCTTTGTCAGTATAGAGGAGGTTATGGTAACGCACTTCGAGGTCTCTCGTGAGGCACGGCCAGTCAAAGCGGGACGGAAGGTGGCGAGAGCGTGCTGGAGGCGTCCGGAACTCCTGGCGCATTCTGAACTTGTTTCTGATTACAGTTATTTTCTATACAGCTGCCACGGTGTCTAGAAGATTTTGAATAACCTCTTCTGATTGGTGTCAAAAGTAACATTTCTTCTGTCTTGGTTCAGTTGCATTGTGATTTGGAATTTTTTTTGTGTGTATATCTTAGCTCGCGTTATTGTAAAACTATACTTTGCGCTCGTTATAGACTAGCGACTCTGCTTTCACAAATGCATATCATAACGCCAGTTTAGAGACCATTAACCGTTTTTTCAAAAGCGAACATTCTTTTACTTGGTGACATCAACTTTTCCGACATATAATAATAATCTTTATTTTTGTTGGACACCCAAAAACAGCACAAGCCACAGGGCCTAAATAGCGGTGCACCGCTAGCTAGCTCATCATCAAGAATAAATGCAGGCAACAAAACAAGGTCGTCACTATGTACAAATAGTTGGGTCAAGCCTATGTAGAAAAATAATCAGATCACAAAAATATCTGCAACGGATTCATCTAGCTTGTTGAATTCAAGTTGCATCCCTGTTAGTGGGGACGTGTCATTCAAAACAGAAGGGTAAAGGGACTCTGAAATCGATTGGACCACAAGACAGCATTAAAACAGACAGTGCTTAACAAACGTGGTCAGTCAACAGCACCGCTCGGAACGTTATGTAAAAACATAAAATCTCGTAATCGTCTTCTACCAAGCAAAGTACATAACCCAAGTGTTTTTTTAAGTAATTAATTGTTCATGGTTGGGTAGTAACAACTGGGGTCAAACTACCTGTTGTAAATTATGCTTATAGAGCGTTTTTGGACACGCTCAATAGAGCATGATGCAGTGAGATTAATGCGATTTTATACAGAAGAAGCATATATACTCCAGCTTCGCGCGCACTAAGCAACAAAAGGAACGCACAAGAAAAACATGCGAAGATAATTTTCTCGTGAAACTCTTCATGCACATGGAAAAAGTATTACACTTGTTTAAGGAAATATACCCAATGCATTAAATCGTAGAAATTTTTTTTTTTATCAGGACCTTTCCGTTGTTTTTTGAAACAATTCTAGAAAGTTCTGGAAGATATTGTCTACAAAAAGAAACAGTCATTAGTTCAATTAGTTCATAAAGGCTGCGACGCAGTCGTTGAGAAATTGTGCTCTGAGGTTATGAATAACCTTTTCACCTCAGGTTTCACAAACGAAAACCCCTCAAGTATGCCTGTCGTACAAGCTGTCAATTCCGATCCATCGAAATTTCAGCTGCCGGTGTTGCCACCCTTATCGACGGACTAAAAACGCTCACCATCCTCGGGGCCAGATGACCTACCGTCGAAAATCTTCAACAATACTAAACTTGTATCCACTGACTTCCTACAGCAGATATTCGATCAGTCACTTCTCAAGGGTTATATTTCTTCTGATTGGAAAATTGGTAAGATCGTTTCGGTCCACTAAAATAGGGAGACCGCACACTACCTTATAATTATCGTCCAATTTTATTAAGGCTGAAGCTCTTCTTGAAAAAAAAAAAAAACGAGTTAGAGGTGAATTTCACGTTCGTTTCTCTCGAAGTATAACTAAACGCGAGAAAACACGTAATTCCTCCGACCAGCCGTAACGTCATACTAGGATCTTTGTGCCGCTAAGTGCGTGTCACTCGCGTGGGCAGCGCGTGCAATCGCAAGCTCGCCAGGGATATTTCCCCGCACTGACACCAGTCGTGACGTTTCTTGCTCACCTTTTCGAAAATAGCAAGAGTGCGCGTGCATAGATGAAAATGTGCGAGAGCGGAGATTCTGAAAACTCTAATATGACGTCACGCCCCTGGAAGGAGGGGCTTTAGCGGTATTTTGAAAATTAATTTCTACAGCCTCCGTAAAAGCACACTTGGTTGATAAAGAGTTATTTTCTAAACACCATCCCGGCTTTTGCCCTGGTTCTTCTTGTGAAACACAGCTATTTGAGTTCACAGATGATCCATTCTGGCCTTCAATCTCGTAATCAAGTTAATGCAATATTTCTAGCTGTCTCCCAGACATTTCAGCGTGTTTTCCTTCTCCGCTTATTCGCTAAACTTTCTCAACTTAATATTAATACTCGAGTACACAGCTGGATACGCAGCTTTTTCCATTCACGTGCGCAGTACACAGTCTTAAATAGACAGGAATCTAACGTAACTAACGTTTCATGCGGTGTCCCACAAGCAACTGTACTTGGTCTTCTTTTATTTTTAATATTAATTAATGATCTCCAAAACACAATTATTTATAATATACGTAGTTTTGCAGATGACTGTGTAGTGTACCATTAAATCTCATATCCTAACGACCAAACGATACTTCAGGGGATCTAGATCCTATCTCCAAGGTGGTGTAACGACTGGCATATTTCACTAAACAAATCAAAGGGCCAGTTGATCCGCTTTTCGTGAAAGAGATACTCTAACCCCTTTCACTATATGTTGAAAAAGGACATCATAGAAGAAGTTCAGGCATCAACAGGTGGAAACACCGAGCTGCACGTGTGGACACCCAGTGGAAGACGTCGAGCACATAATAATGAACTGTCCCAGATGCGGCCAGTGGCGAACTCGATTACGAGTGGGACTAAGCATACTCGACAATCGCTCTTTTTCTTTGGCCAAAGTTTTAGGACCTTGGGCGGACTTAAAAAGCCAGAAGAGGGCATCAACTTTACTACGTGATTTTTTTACTGGCACAAATATAGTTTACAGATATTAGGTATCATACGAAGGTCAAAACACGCACAACGCGCCCTTAAAAGATAACTGCGTTTTTTTTTATAGTAAGTTTATTACTATTATACAGTAATCTATTGTACATATGTACATATGTATATATTGCGTAATCGCTTCTCTCACCGTGTATTTCTTTTTGGTGCGTGTACGGCAACTAAGAGTATTATTCATGGTGTTATCATTTTATATTTGGATGCTATACATCATTCATACTGTACATTACTTGATCTGAAGTAGCCGGTCCCAGGATATGGGACCAAACTCTTCAACTCATCAAATAAACATTGAATTGAATTGAAGTTCAGGCATATAAATATGTCGGTGTTATCTTAAGTTCTGATATAACATGGATTAATCACACTAACTCCATTTCTTCCGAAACATGTAAAACCCTTTCTGCATCCGGTATTGCTTGAGCGCTGTTCCTCCAAAACGTAAAAAATTGGCATACGAAATCTTTGTTTGACCTAAATTATAATGTGCCTCGGCTATTTGGTTCCCCACCAAAATTATTTAAGAATTCAGCTTGAGGCAGTCCAAAATACAGCAACCCGATATATACTATTGAATCACGAGTACACAGCAAGCGTCTCTTCGATGAAAAAAAGCCTAAATTATATTGCACTCGAAACACGCCGCAAGGCAGCAAACACGCCGCAAGGTTAACAACTCCTGCAACTTCCAGCGCATATCTGGTTCAACTAACAATTATAGCAAATAATTTTAGCACTCACTATTGTGAGTGATCAAATTATTCGTTCGGCGATCCAAATAGATCCGTGTGTAAAAAACGCTACTAACGGATGGCATTATGCACAATGGATCGCTATTTACATTTATTAAAATGCAATTTACAAGAGGGGGGAGCTCTTCATCAGGTTGATCTCATCTGTCAGTCACTATTGACAAACTACGTGAGTGAGAAAAAACTACAAAGACACTTAAGACTGCTATAACTACAACCTTCGCTCCATGGGACAGGGGAATTTAGGTGCCGTTTGGCGCGGCTTCAAAAGCTGATAACGCC